ATTTTTTTGTGTAATATTTTTTTTACATTTATACACTTTTTTGTAATTTTTTTTCATATTCATACACTTATTTCTATAATATATATCTTATCTCTTTGCCAAAAAAATATATTTTTTTATCTCTTTTGTATGTTTTTAGTGTTTTAAGACATTATATGTATTCATTTCGATTTAGATTTCATAAAACATTATGTTATATTACATTTTTCATATGCTTATAGACAATTTCTGAAATTACATTTGATAGTATATGAAGTTACATCTTTTAATTTTTGTACGTGAGTTACATCTTATTATATATGTGTAAGTTACATCGTTTTAAGCATGAAATACATCTTCTATGTGTGTGTTACATGTTATACACGAACTACAACTTGTTATGCACAGAGTTATATCTTTTTATGCATGCGTTACATTTACTTATGCATGAGTTACATCCATTGTTCTAAAAGTCAGGCCGATTAATCGGCCTAGTCAGCCCTAACTGAGGAAAACTAATCGGCCAAAAAATCGGCCTAGTCGGCCGCCTAGGCGCTAGGCGTCCCTCAACCGTCCGACTAGCGCCTAATGAATTTTAGAACAATGGTTACATCACAAAATAAACTCTTGCTATTCAAACAAAAAAAATGTTCTTTTTGGGCCAAAAACGATTTCTTTTTGCAAAAAAATAATACTCCCTCCGTTCCTATTTTATCTTCCAAATAGATTTGGCACACAATTTAAGATAGTGGGTATTGTGTGGTGGAGAGTTGTGTAGAGGAGAGAGAAATGTGTAAGAAATGTTGTGAACCACAAATTCTTTACTAAAAAGGGAAAGTGGAAGTTTTAATTGGAACGGACGAAAAAGGAAAGTTGGAAGTTTTAATAGGAACGGAGGAAGTAATATTTTGGAAAATTTATTTTTTAAATCTTTTTATTGCCCATATATTAAAAACAAAACATATTCACTAATTAAGTGAGTAAGTAGACTTTTTTCTTTTGTTTACATTGAAATCAATGTTTTATTTTCCGTATTAAACAAGTTACATTTCGATTGACTTGCAATAACATTTTTTTGTCAACGTGAGTTACATTTCTGTACATGCGACTTACATTATTCATGCTACTGAGACAAAAAAAACAGTACGTTATTGTACACGCATGTACTGTTCACGCCGGATTTTTTTAAAAAGATTATGCAAAATGGCGTCATTTTTGGGAGTAAAGCATGGTGCTTACCGAAGTGCAAACACTCAGTAGACCAACTTTGCGGTTCTAGACCGAGGTCTAGAGCGGTTGGACAGTTTTGTGCAGTTTTCCAAAAAGTGCCATGATCATTCTCAAACGTGTTGTAACTATCTAGGACGGTTAATATAGATATATATCACCATACTTCATACAGAGATGTGGGAGACAAGAGATACAACATATCTTCATCATTGTTGACATTCAAATTAAGATAACAATCCATATACTCACTAGTTTGGCTCTAGTTCTTGTGCCTAAGTTCTAGAGCGTTCTTAAGGATTATCCTAGATTGAATTTCTTGTAACCCAAGCATATGGGAGAAATATCAATTCGGAAAGTGAACTTACATGATCCTTAAACAATCCAAGTACTCGATTATCACCCCTTATACACACGAAAAACCCCAACACAATAATGATTTGAATCAGCTACTGTTAATACATACTACTGTAGATGACCATTTTGGCCGTTTCTTCATATAATTTTATCTTTATTTTATTTTTACAATATACTTTAAATATTTTTTATAAATCAACAAAATCAGTCAATATAGCCAATTCATAAATTCCAGCATAATCAGCCGATTTAAGTGTTACCAAACGAGCTCAAAATATTAAAATTGTGTTTTACAAAGTATAGTGGGAGCGAGTCCGATTTGGTTCACCCCTTTAGGAAGGGTGAACACATCACGCCCTCAATCCGATGCACACCATTTGACATTACACCTATTTTTTTCTTAAAATTGTTATAACTTTTTTTATATAATCTAATTTTCACAATAATTATATCACAATTAAAAACTTTATATGATCTTTCCAATGATATTAATATTGCATAAGAATTCGAAAAATATCATTTTTTGTTCAATCTATTTTAAGTAGACTTTGAATAATTAAATTCCATTCATAAAATATTGATATCATATGAAAGATCATAAAAAATTAAAAATATTGATATTTTTTTTTGAAAAATTGAACCAAAATAAAATTTAAAAGAATTGTTGTACCATGTGGCACTCCAATAGGGTGGAGAGATCATACTCTTTCGAGTCGGTGAACAAAACCGTTTTCAGTCGGAGCAAAGGAGCATGAAGTTCAAACGGGAAATGGAAAACAATTTTGCTATAGGTACCACATAGTTACCCCATTTCCTACCCCATATAAATACTCTCCCAAAAATTTACCCCCACTCCCTCATCTTCCTTCCCCTCATCTCCCTTTCATCTCTCTTTTCCAGCCAGCCCTTCTCCCTTTCATTTCCCTTTCATTTCCCTCAATTAAGCCCCCTTGCTTGGTTCCGGCGAACACCCAAGCAGGTCCGTTGGCAAGCCGGTCATCTTCTCCGGCGACACCTGACCGCTGTCCCAGTAATTTCAGTACCGACCAGATTTAAAAACCTTCCACACCTTCTGCACCAATTTGTAATTTCAGTTCAAAACCTTCAAATTCCAGCGAACATAACTTCGAAACATACATGTGATGGTTCAGATTTGTTAGCTTTGGTTCAGATATGTTAGCTTCAAAATCTAGTGAAAAGAGGGGAGCGAGCGGCGACTGGACGGAAAGAGGAGCTAGCGGCTGGAGCAACTGAGCCCTCGCACGCCATGGTCTTTTTTCCTCATTTTTTGGTATTATTTTGTCCAACTCCACATGAAAAACAGTTGTCTGTCTGACAGACAAATTTGAATTGCAGCGTCTGTCTAGTTGAGCATAGTTTCACAATTGGTGGAATCTTACATAAGATGTCTGTCTGGAAAGAGCTGCTACACATGTGAAGAAACAAGGCAACCTCATTTGCCCCATTTGCTGCTCAACTTGGAAAGAGTTGCCTGTGTTTGAAGATTCTCGAAGTTGAATGCTCTCATAGTTTTTTTGTTGTATTTTTGTTTGTTGAAAATTGGTTTGTAGTTGTCTGTGAAGTGAAAAGAGTTGTCTGGCATTCCATTTGATTTGTCTGTAATGTGAAGATAGTTGTCTTTCTGGTGAAATTGTGAAGTAGTTGTGTATATTTAGATTGCTCTGTGATGATATTGTGATGTCTGGCAAGGCATATTAGTTGTCTGGCACGTTAAATCCAATTGTTTAAAATTGGTTTGTAGTTGTCTGTCATGTGAAAGTAGTTGTCTGACATTCCATTTGAGTTGTCCGTCAATTTATTGCAACAAATTATTTGTTGTGAATAGATAAACAATACATATATCTTGACAGACATTAGAGATAATCACACATACATTATTTTCACGTAGAAAGACAATAACTTTACACATACAGACAATACCATAGATACCCATACATAGAGTACTTAATTGGCCCAGACTACTAATGTCTGGCCCAGACAAAATTTGTCTGGCTATACGACAAAGAGTACTTAATTGACCCAGACTACTAATGTCTGGCCAAGACAAAATTTGTCTGGCTGTAGGACAGAGAGTAGTTAATTGTCCCAGATTATTAATGTCTGGCCAAGACAAAATTTGTCTGGCTGTAAGACAGAGAGTATTCTTTATTCTAACAGGAAACCTTACTCTTCTCCTTGTAGAGATTACATATGTAATTCATTCACCACATGTGTCTTCACATTACCAATACAACCATGTTTAAAAAAAAAGGCACACACATTTATATAAAAACTACATTACCAATACAACCATGTTTCCAAACAAAATCACACACATTTAAAGTTGTCTGGCCACACACATTTTATGTATGACTCCAACAACTATAAAATCACGTCAACTTTAAACAACTATGAAACCATGTTCACTTTATGCTAGACAGACACTGCAGTTCCAAATTGTCTGTCCGCTAAACAAAATACAAATAAATGACGAAAAACAACATATTCTTCTCCTAGACTAACAAATACAGACACTGCACTTACAACTTGTCTGTTAGACAGACAACCCTTTTTTCTAAAACGCACCAAAAAATCAAGAAAAAAATCAAGAAAAGTAGATCTGCTCCAATTTATTCAAAGCTTCTTGGTTTGTACTTTCGTCGTTGTCTCCCCACGTCACCAAGCTCTCCTTTTCGTTCGATTACTGTAGCTCTTCCATTTGAAACGAAAAAAATAAGCCGACGAGGAGAGAAGCAGGAGAAGAAGCTTGGACGGAGAAAAGATTGAAAAATGAGAAGACTTGATGGGGAGAGATCTTGAAATGGAGAAGAAATCAAGTTTTGGAGAAAATAGAAAGAAAGGGGAGGGGAGGGGCGTGAAAAGAGAAGATGGAGGAGAGAGGGAGGGAAGAAGAAGAAAAGTGGGGGAGGGGGGAGGGTTTTTGGAAAAGGGGTAAAAAGAATGGTAAAAAAGGAGGTATTTATATGGGGTAGGGAATGAGGTAAAGTTGGGGTACCTATAGCAAAATTGAATGGAAAAACAGGAAATGGAAAACCACGTGCAGATGACTTTTGTCTTGAAAAAGAAAATGGAAAAACGGGAAATTTAAAAGAATTGTTGTACCATGTGGCACTCCAATTGACTTTTGTCTTGTACTACCTCCGTTCCCATTTTAACTTCCAAATGGATTTGGCACAAAGTTTAAGATAGTGGATATTGTGTGGTGAAGAGTTGTGCAGAGGAGAGAGAAATGTGTAAGAAATGTTGTGAACCACAAATTCTTTACCAAAAAGGGAAAGTGGAAGTTTTAATTGGAACGGACGAAAAAGGAAAGTTGGAAGTTTATTTAGGAACGGAGGGAGTAAAAGAAAATGGAAAAACGGGAAATGGAGTAAGATGGACGTCAGGATGATGAAAGCAGAAAGGTAAAGGCGAACCACCCACCCAACTCTCTCTCTCCTCGTGCATGCACTTCTGATGCACCACTACCATACACAAGCACCTAGTGCCCTGCCCTGCTTTTTCCCGCACGTCTTTCTTACATTCCTATTTTTCATTCTCTTCACTTTGCATGTATTCCTTCTTCATTCATTTATTCCACCAATCCTCTGTCACGGCGGAGAACTCTTCCCTTCGGCGGCCTCTTCTTCCACCTGTCACCACCACCGACAACTACTCTGCACATCACCATTTGCTTCCATGTACAGTGTTTTCTAGATTTTACCGCTCTATCCGTATCCTTTGTGGTATCTTCTATGAAACAGGTAAACTACGTTGGGTGAAACTCTTTTAAAACGCTCCAAAAAGTTATTTTTCTATCAAGTATGACGTTTTCTTTTCCTATTTCCCCTGTGTTTCTCTGCAAAATAGGTATCTTGGATACTACTTTTGCTCAGTGGAGTAGTTGGTTTGATGTTTTATGTTTTAAATCATGAAACCTTGTGGATTATATTAGGGATTTATGACATTGGGCAAAGTCAACAGATCTGCAGAAAATACAGATGCTGCTTAAGGTGTGATTTCTCTCAATTTCACTTAATGTTGGGTTGTATTTCGGCATTTGGCCAGTATAGGATGACTTAAGAGTTATGAATGGTGACTTGTTGGAACAGACTTATCTCGGGCTTGAATTGAGAATGGTTAATGTGGTTTAACCTAATTAGTTGTTGGTCAACTTGATAGGAGTACCAAACATTGGTTTGTATTTTTATACTTGGCTAGAGCCTAGAGTCGGATGACTGTTGACTTAACACTCCTATGAGTTTCCACTTAACATGCTTGTGGAGTTGTGGAGTTATGCATTATTAAATTGTCATTTGTAGTAATAATGAGCTTAGTTTCCTTTTGTGTTTCTTCTTTGTAAATGTCTTGTGTTAAAATGTGAAGGGTATGGTGTTTCTGTTATTGTTAGGATTAATGTGAAGTGGGAGAGGAATGGGTTCGAGGGAGTGCATGAATGAGCTCTGCCGGGCTAATTTGACAGTTCAGTGTAAGAAAGGCTGGCCGCTGCGCTCCGGTGAACTTTCCTCGCTCTGTAGTACATGCGGGTAATCCATTACATTAAAAAATCTCTTTTTATGTATTGAAGTCTTAAAATCAATTCAGTTTATATAAAGATCTCAAGATTTTTCAGGGGTTTATCATTCAAAGAATGATACCAATATTACGTATAGGGTTGGTGATTCTCACCTTTTTTTCTTATCCACGTTACATGCTATGTAAATAAATAAATATTGGGTCATCCATGATGATCCATCTATGGAGATGATGTTAGGAATCTTATGGTTCTTGATGGATGGCCAGAACACACTGTCATTTTGGTGTTCATAGGTTCAACTTCAACTTTCATCCTAAAAGATAATGGCTCGTTGAAGGCATTTGAAACAAGCCAATTCTGAAATTCATATGCTCATTATTAAGGCTTGCCAGCGTCGAGCAACTCTTGGAGCTTAATTAGCTCTTTGATACCATATTAAAATTTTAAATTTTATCCTAAAATATTAACCTGGCAGGAGTCCAAAGACTTGTAATTTTCATTTTTGTTTTTTACTGGTGTGGGATGACTAGATAAGAACTTCAGAATTTTAATTTCTTCAGGACTGCTTATGAACAACTAGTCTTCTGTGACATGTTCCACTTGAATGCCACGGGTTGGAGGGAGTGCAGTTCTTGTGGCAAGGTAAGTCTATTGGTTTGGTCATAATTAAAGTCTGTATTCTAAGCTGCCCCAAATAAACATGGAGTAAACTTCTTCAACATTGGCAGCGTCTTCACTGTGGATGTATTGCTTCCAGCTCTTGGATTGAACTGCTAGAGAGTGGCGGTGTATGCTGCATCAACTGTGTGAAAAGTTCACAGATTGAAATGGTAAGATAACTTATCACATTCTTGTGTGTGTACCTATGTGTATGACTGTATGTAAAAATGAGAATGGGACTTGAAAGTTTCAAAGATGATCATTGATTTGGTCATTTGGACACAGGCTTGATCATTAAAGGAATGAAGACTTTAATATCAATTTGTTACTTCATTTTTAATGTGGATACCTATAGGTTGCAGTCACATTTTTGAAGGCCTTATTTCGCAATCTAATTATCCAAATCCATATTTTGTTGTTATATTTTTCTCTTTCATTTTCTGTAAGAAAGAGAGTTTGAAATATGAGATAACAAACCAATATATAAGACATTAGGTTTCTTCTTCTATCTTGATGCATTAACATTTTATGTTGTGCAAGGATTATATGTTGAATTAGTTTAACAGTGCGAATCAATTATTTGAATAGGATTCTTAATCTTTGTATGTGGTCAACATTCTTCCCCCATTTGAGTAGGTCTTGTCTATGTCTCTTCCTCTTTGGTCAGATGCCAATTCAAGAAAAAGATAAAGGATGTGGTACTGCAAATAGTGGAGGTGAAGAGCAGTCAATGTCAGGGGGATGTGACACCCAGAGACCAATAAATATGGTGTTTGATGATGATCCTGGAAATATTGCTCATAAACCTTCTTTGTCATCCCAAAATGATACCAGACGCAAGCCACTCTCCCAACTAAAATTGGAAGACATTTTTCATTCCACAGGAGAATCTGGAAGCATGCTTCCAACAAGCTGGAACCAAGAATTATTAGATTTGCCTCAACACCCCATATATCGGTATTATAACGGAGTGCCTGGATCACCAGTTCAAACAAACTTAAGTATATCACTGTGTGCCCGTTTAGGCAATGCAAGTGCCATTGGTACTGGTGGGACATCACTCAATGAAAGGAAATTGGGAAAGTTGATATCTTCCAATGTACAAGGGTCTGGCCATCTTTTACCCAATCCACCAAAATATATCAATGCTTCTGGATGGGAGACAACTAGCGGCATGGTCCCACAAATACCTGTTGCCAGGCCTCCTGTTGAAGGAAGGATAAAGAATCAGATGCTTCCACGTTACTGGCCCAGGATAACTGACCAGGAATTGCAGCAAATTTCTGGAGAGTATCCATAACGTAACGCTCACTTAATTTTATGACTAGTTTCGTCCCCTTTTAATCTAATATACTTAATGTTGTGATTTGTGAATGATTTCCTTTACCATATTACCCGGAAGCTCAAATTCCACCATTATACCATTGTTTGAGAAGGTCTTGAGTGCTAGTGATGCAGGTCGAATTGGGCATTTGGTACTTCCAAAGGCGTGTGCTGAAGTAAGCTTCTCCGATTTGCTCATCCTTTTCCGAACGTGAATCTATTTCTATTTTACACCTCAAAAAAGAGATTTTGCATTCCTTTTCTGTTTTTTTATCTTACCTCCAAAATGTGTATTTTGACTCGTAGACATATCATGGTTTAGGCATATCTTCCGCCGATTTCACAACCAGAAGGACTCCCTCTAAAGATTCAGGATATAAATGGAAAGGAGTGGGTGTTCCAGTTCCGGTTTTGGCCAAACAATAATAGCAGGATGTATGTTTTGGAGGGTGTAACCCCCTGCATACAATCCATGCAATTACAAGCTGGAGATACTGGTATCTGAAGTGTTCTGATCTATACAAGCATGAAACTTGTTTATGCCCTTTACTTCACATCTTCATGATGCAATTTGCATCATGTGTAACCATAACACATTGCCTTTGGCTGCCATCACACACACTTAGGGTGTGCGCAGTTAAATAAGGAAAGTCTTAAAGTGAAAAATGTAGTAATACACATAGTAAAAAGTATTGTACCTTAAATAAAGAGTGACTGCACTTTTAGCATAAAAATCCACGTGTATGTTGAATGTGGGGGCACAAGTTGCACTTATTCAAACTATGCCACCATGTTTTTTCATTTATATTTTCCGATTTTTTTGGAGCCCCTAAGTTACAATCCAATGCACCATTTTCATTCTCATTTTCCACATTAAGAGGACACACACACATAAAAGTTTGAGTTTCTAAATATACACGTTTGTTTTAAGGTTTCTCATCATATCATAACATATGCATTTCAGTAATTTTCAGTCGTATGGATCCCGAAGGAAAGCTTTTGATGGGGTTCAGAAAAGCATCAAGTGCCATCCCAGCTCAGGTTAGAAGCTTCTTTAACATTTATTTATAGAAAGCTCTTTTTTCAATGTACAATTGTACAAATTACTTCAATCCTTTAATGCCATCCTCCCCATCCAGACATTTTTAGACGAACTAGGTTTTGATATCTTCTTGCATACTAACTGCAAATTCATTATTGACCAAGCAGGATGCCAACTTAGGCGTCATGCCTTGTGGGATCTCTTCAAGTGAAACTGTCTTCTCAGCTGTCACGGAGAATGTACCCTCAATGAGTGGCTATTCTGGCTTGCTACAATCTTCCAGTGGAAGCAGAGATGTTTTTTCGAATGCATCTAATAAACATATGTATGGTGGTGATATGAACTGGGACTTCACTGAGAAGGTTGGGAAAAACAATGGGGACAGTCCACATTCCTTATCTCTTATCACTCCGGGACGCAAAAGAAGCCGAAATGTAGGTTCAAAAAGTAAGAGGCTGCTTATTAATAGGCAAGATGCTTTTGAGTTGAAGCTTTCATGGGAAGAGATACAAGATATGCTCCGTCCACCACTTAGTGCCAGACTCACTACTGTTAACATCGAGGACCACGAATTTGAAGAATATGAAGTATGAATCTTCAAAGCCAATAGTTTAAAGTTTATAGTCCAAGCCTATGTTACAAGAACGGGAATGTGAATCAATACGGCCTAGTGACCAGGTCACAGATCAATCCGATCAATGTCAGGATAACTCAGTCAAAAGTCAAAACTATTAAAAAATTTTAAAATAACATACATATGGTTATACATCAAATTAAAGAACAATCATTGTTCTTCATAGTATCAAACAATGATAGTTAATAAGAAATGAAAACACACAGTATCAACAATACTATGGGGTTATTTGGTTGCACAATTTTAAAATTATTGTGGCATGACCAATTCTCTAAAATGAGATGTTAAGACTTGGGTTCCATTTAAAAGGTCAACCTAATATGAGGAGTAGTCTAACATTTTATAGTGTTTTATTACTTTATATCAATCCAGTGCAAAACATTAGAGTGTGTAAATGGTCAAACGAACCCTTAAGAACTACTCTTAACAACTACTCTTAATCATGAGTGCTAAACAATAATCAAACCACAAGTGGACCTGACTCTGATACCATATTAAGACTCAGAGTTACATCTTAAAAGGTCAACATGAGATGTGTGAGTTTTCACATTTTTTTAATGCAAACTAGCAACTTTAATAAATCAAGAGGCTAAGAAAACTAGTTCAAAACTGGGTTTACTGGCTCAATAAGGTTTTACCTGACCGAATTTGAACTGTGTTTACCCAGGTTGGTCGTGTTTTCCCGGGTTTTGACTAATTTTGGCTTTTATGACCGCCCCGGTTTGGTGAATGGGTCAACCCATACAGACTGATCCAGTTTCTCTGAAGTTTGAATCTTTCTACTAATAAGTTATTGCTTCATATCTTATACCCAAGCTTCTGGTATTGTAGGAACCGCCTGTTTTTGCAAAGAGAAGCATTTTTACAGTTCGCCTATCTGGGTAAGACAATATAGTAGGATATACTACATCTAAAGAACATTAACAACACGGATGAAGACCATTAGCCTCATAAGATTTAAAATGTGGATTTTCCTGACTAACATTCTAATAACAATAACAAGAGAGCAACCTGTTTTTAGTTCACTTTTTAATTTGGGAATACTTACCTTGGTGGAATCGAAAACACAGGGAGCAGGAACAATGGGTTCAATGTGATAACTGCTTGAAATGGAGAAGGCTGCCAGCTGATTATCTTCTACCACCTCAGTGGACATGTCAGGAAAACATTTGGGATCTTTGCAGGTCAGCGTATGCTTGAATGTGAAGCCTCTTGTGCCAAACAAAAAAATATCATTTTAAATTGCAAGTATTTATATCCCCAGGTGTTCATGTTCTGCATCGGATGAGTTAGCACCCCAGGAGCTTGAGTTCCTTCTTAAATCGGACATAGGTATATTTATAACGCATATCTTCACATGGTTTCTATCATGTGTGTGCCACCTGATTGATGTGTTTAACCATTTCCAATCATTCTAGTAGTTTCATAGTTTTGTTTAAAACTTACTATTGGTGGACTTCGATTTCAGCAAGTGTTTTCTTAATATTTGGTTCCTGTGGTAGAACATATATATATACATACTCACACATGTCTAAGTGCTAACATGTTTGTAATTAGTAGTCTGGAGCACCATTTGAAACTTCTAATATAGTTACTTCCGCTTTTGCTACATAATAAACTGTGGGCAAAATGTCTTTTTTCCCATCGAATTTGTATTTGGTTTTGTTTTGTCTTTTTGCTTTTGCTATGTTTTTATTTTTCAAATAAATGCAGTGTGTATCCATAAAGGATGTATGTTGTATTACCAGCTTGCTGTGATAAAATTGATAATTGACGATGTAAATAAATGTGATGAAAGAAAATTTAGTGGCCTAATGATACTTGGGTTAGCCTAGAAGTAATTTCACTGGCAATCTTTACATACACTATTATCATTGTTATTTTTGTTGATGCAAATTGGTTAGTCGATTTTCCACACCCCATAGTACATATTTATCTATCAATATATTTATGCAAGTCCACATATTAAATTTTTCCCGTAATATTGATCATTTGCTAAGAGCCTAAGAGGTTCACTCTTAAAATGACATTTTTTATGAAAGATTTAGATCTTAGAAAAGATACATGATTTCTCAAGAAAATGAAAAGTAAGACCACAAATGTTGGATTATTAGAATCAAATTTACCTATATTTTTTTGGTTTGCTTTAGAGAGGAACAAACAAAGAACTGAAATGAACCACAAGACAGTAAACGCAAGAGGTCCTTCCGATAGTAGAGTTGATGAGCAGGAGCTAGTGTCCACCTCAGTAGCAACAACTACAAGACACCCTAGACATCGCCCTGGCTGCTCTTGCATTGTCTGCATCCAGCCTCCCAGTGGAAAGGGAAAGCACCAGCCTTCCTGTATGTGCAACGTTTGCCTGACTGTTAAGCGCCGTTTCAAGACACTAATGATGCGCAAAAAGAAACGCCAATCAGAACGGGAAGCTGAACTTGCTCATATGAATAATTTTTTATGGGATCCAGCCAAGCAGGAGGAGGTGGCAGAGGTGGAGGATGGTATTTTTCTTGGACAAGCCGAACCACAACTCCGTCTTGCAGACAAAGAAAAAAGATATGGGCGTGACTTGCAACCACTCCGCCAAAACAGTGACATGTTTGTCAAGACCTGTGAACCGTTGTTAGACTTGAACTGTCACCCAGATAGAGAAGCTGCTGCAGGCTCATCATCTTCATCGTCATCACGTATTAGCATGTTGTGCCTTCTTCAACAAGCCAGTTTGCCTCTCCACAATTATCTGAAGCAGAATGGGCTAACAAGCCTGGCTTCTGAACAGCAAGGAACTGCTGGATCACATGTGGTTCCCCAGGATGGGCAAGAGATTGAGGTACAAGTCCCCGAAGATCAGTGCATTAATAATAGCACTGCCATTCAAGAACAGGATGGTAATGACCTTTTTGGACGAAATGAATATGCAAAAGTGCCTTGATGAAGAAGACATAGCCCTCTTACCAAAAAGAAGAAATAAAACTATCTGAATATTATACATATAATTTTGCCCGCGTCACTGCATTGAGAATGTGTCTTTTCCAATTGTCACACAGTTTGCACCTTTGAACTGCTATATATGTATCTAAGATACATACTATCAAAAGGTGGTTTGTAAATTTGCAATGAAAATTTACACATGAAAGTATTGGGTTTTAGTGAAACTTCACTACAACAACATCACTAAACTTCACTAAACTAGGAAAAGTGCAAACTATCTTGTTGCTGAAAAAGTGAACACAACTGGTGAGAAGACTAGGATAATACGTGAGTCCAATACTTGGAGAGAGAAATACTGTAAAGTATTTGTCTCATTGGATTAAAACCTTTTAGGCTGGAACTACAAGCTAGTTTTTATATAGAGTTAGAGTTATCTCAATTTGTGGTTTGATTGTGTGTATAGCCCTTTCTAAGTATGAAATACAACAGACTTGAGATGCTCTCATAAGTCATAACCCCAAAATGGAACAGGTTTAAACTCTTTAGTGAACAAGCTCCTCATTTTTCAAGAATGGAAACACCAAACCCCCATTTGACTTCGAAACTTTAACAAAGGGGAATTGACATTAACAAGGGCCGTTGAAAATAAACACTTGAAATTGAGTTCTATAATTTGATTGTATCAGGATTATGTGCTGTAAATAAATATCTTCAATACATGATCTCAATTAAATACCGTGCTCATACATGATTATAATCCTAGATATTTTGGAAAAGGGACCGTCTACATCAGCTTCCAATGTAAAGCCTGTAAGATAGTGTTCAATGCAGTGATTTGGTACTGGTTCCTGTAATCTAAGATGTGTAAAAAACACGCCGTAGCAGCAGCAACCAAAAGGACAATGATAACCCACATATATCTCCTGAGAGCATTTTTGAAGAGGCAGGTAACAACACTCAACAGTGTGTTCGAATCCAATAGCATAAAAACTCCATTTTTATCTCTCTTGAAAACCGATCTGCTTAAAAGACCATCCGTTCCTCCCAATCTTGGCATTTCCTGCGCCTCAGTAATGATCAGATCACATTTTCTTATTTCTTGAGAAACATCTAAAACAACAGAGTATTAATAGAGCACTTATATTTATGTTTGTATTTACATTACATTTAAACTTACATTGTTTAATGACCAAATTCCTAAGTGATATACAAATTTTGCGCATTAGTCTTTCATGAATTAAAATATTAAATAATGCATCACTCTGAAAATCACGCGTCTTGTACCATTATGGTATGATGATTAAACATGTATGTCAAAGTATCTAAATAAGTATACAAAAATACATAACGCTTAGGTTCTATTCCAGAGTTAAATTTGTTGGACAGTTAAACTTATTCTTAGTATTTACAACCGTTCAAGAGTATTAGTTGCTAACATATCACAGTGATGCATTTTTTGAATCACAAAAACTAAGGATGTTTTTACTTGGATTGTAATTTGCTGGTCTGGTCTGATCTGGTCTGGTCTGAATTGGTCTGGTCTGATTTCTTTGTATTTTTATAACTATCCGAGTCTGGTCTGATCGAACTGATCTGGGACGAATTACAGTCCAAGTAAAAACATACTAAAGCCCAAAATTTAATTTGGGGCATTACATCCTACATTTATATTTACATGTACTTCTCTAGTTTCATCTGAAAGACTCAACCTTATCTATCAAACACAACAACATAAACCTAAATTCTAATCAGATCAATCGGTGAAACGTTAGGTATGTGTACCGTCTGAACACAATAGTTGGAAGCACTCTTTGGACGTCGCCGGAACTTTTCTATAAACCTGAGGAGTTTGGACTTGTACCTCCTTGAAAATGTGGGACTGTAAATCTCGGGTTCAGATCTCAGTCGGATTACGGATCTGAAGAGCTTCAGTTTGATCGAGAATTTGAAGAAGCTGCAATTGCAATGGCGAAAGAGACTAGTTGCAGAGACCTTGAAATCAAAATCCTTGGCCTTCGCTTGGATGTTGAGCCGCCATGACTGGTGACGCTGGACAGAACTCATCGCCCAAGCTCTGAAGCGCCAAATATGATGGAAATCATGGAATGGCCAGTCTTACTCCATTTGGGACGATGAAACTGATGCGTGTTATTGCTTAACTAGCCGTTAGAGATTTACAGTTCTGATGTGACGAGAAGCTGTCTTGTTAGGAAAATGGATTGGGCCTATAATCCCTTATTGGTCCAACATGGTCAAAGTCCTACACTGACTTGTAGGCCCAAAATGACCGATGGATTATATTATAGGTGTAAACAAATATCCACCCGAGCGATATACTCTGTCTTTCTTTTTTGGGATGTCCCAAAAAATTTTGACACTTTTTTCCTTTTAATCAATTATTTTGTGGTTAAAGTTATTTCTCCCTCCTCTGCACAAATCTCAATCACACAGTTTTTACTTTATTATTCTCTGTCCCGATCAAGTTTGACAAAGTTTTAAGGAACGGAGGTATTATTAGTATTACCTATTTACCCCTCCCCCAACAACTCAATAGCTTTATATTGTCCCAAATATCCCCTTCTTTCTCACTAGATTTTTTAATTGGCCCAAAAGTTTAATCAATCTTTGTTCAAGGTAATTAATTCGCACTTCTTTATATTTTTCTCACTTTGCGCAACTGTATATAATTGAACACAAATTTAGGAATTTTACTTTCTTTTTTCACGAGCAAATTAAAACTTATAATGTTTATTAGACACATAGTGTTAGTTTAAAATATTACTCTGTATAATATAAAAATCGGTACAAAACACACAAAACGATAAAGGTACGTACTTTGCCGTGTAATTCATTAAATAAATTAAACCTATCACGGAGTGTTATTATTTTGTAAAAGTATTAAAAGAACCTTATCATAATTGTAAATTGAGCTATAATTTTAATGAGCATATAATTAACATGCTCATTAATGAGTACGTTGAGTGATATGAGATTTTGGGGTACACACGTTTACATACTACCTGTGTAGGTTTTTTTTGTCTGTACGGACAAAAAAAGCCTATACAGACAGTGCGTAAAAGAGGGTACATAAAAAATGTGTACAAAGAGTATTTTTGTATTACTTATCATGCATTTAATTGAGAATAGAGACAAAACATTATTTTATCATTTATTTATCAATTGTACAAAGTAATATTCTAGTTGTTGCATTGACATCGAGCTATTATTGCAAAGTGATAGAACTAGTAAATTTATATTTTTTCTGGATTCATTTATTGAGCTAGTTTGCGATAGAACTCCGTATTAAGCACGGCACGTAAGAGTGTTTTTACGGGTGGGAGGAACGTCTTCAGTCTTCACGGCTGATTTGATGATATTTCCTGACAATAGGGAACGGCCATCTTCAATGAATCCTGAAAAAGTATAAATTTACTGGAAATAGTTAGGAAACATAAATTTACATATAGGTTTAACTGTTTAAGTGAATTGCCGCCACAATCACCGATCTATAAAAGTTGCATTAATAAAAGTTGTAACAAGATTTTGCACCATTCATACATCTTACTTTGATTACGATTTTGTAATAGTATATACGGAGCATATATAACCAAATTATTATGAATAAAAGGTTATTAAATTTCTATTGATGTAAATTTCCAAAATATTAACTTTTGTTGATGTTTACTAATACATAATTAAAAATAATTAAAAATAATTACATTCAAAGTTGTGTGTGCGTTGACATACATGAAAGTCAAATGGTCAAACTGTCACATAATATCAATATCATACCCACTAAACTCAACCTTTCTCTCCTCCTACACACTTATACTCCCTCCGTCCCAAATTGTTTTGCAAAGTCAACATCTTTTGGTCAACCAATAAAAAAAGTCAATGCTCCCTAACGATAATTAATTCCATTTTTAATAAATAAAATTTATATATTCAGAAACTATATTAATATCTCTTCAAAGTTGTAAATTCCAAATTAGAATATTATTAAAAATTGATATCCTAATTAAGCAAATAAACTGAAATTGTTTGACCAAGAAAAGTCAAATTTGCAAATCAATTTTGGAACGAAGGTAGTAATTACTACCTTCATCCAACTAATATTGTTTCATCTTTCCTGTTCGGTTCGTCACACTAAGATTGTCTCATACCAAATTTGATAAAATTTGTGTGGTTTTAAATCATTCTTGCTTTAACAATTCAATGTTAACCACATAAACCTAGTCTTTTGATATATAATTACATCACCTCCTCATGTTTCAATATTACTGAGACGCAGGTAGCTAGTAACAATCAAAATATCTCCCCACTCTTTGATCGGACATAGAAAAATATACTCAAGTTCAGGGCCGGACTTGGGGGGAGGGCAGCAGGGGCGACCTCCCTAGGCCCGAAAAAAGTAGAAAGAAAATTAGGCCCAAAATACTTTCTTTACATGCAATGTGAGTAGGCTTCTTTTTATTTATATATTCAATTAATTTATTAGGTCTAATGTGTAATTTTTGTTAACAATTTGAAGATTTTAAAACATAACTAAAAAGTCTTGATCAGAGCCAAACAAGTTTTAAAAAAG